TTAAAATTTCATATTTAAGTGGCCAAAAAAATGATATTAAAAAAAAAATAGTAGGTGCTTACACAATCGGCTTCCGAGTGGCGCCCATTTGCAAAGGACTGGTCGTTGGATTTCCTTCCGCAGATACAGAGCTTTTCTTCTTTGTTATACCAAACCCGTACTAGAAAATACCAGTTCTTCCTTCTGATTCATCCTCTTCTCTCTCTGCTATATCCATGGAAGATCCTCCAAACCATCGCACCCCACAGCTTCTCCAGGTCCTCCAAGCTCTCAAAGAAGCTTCCCACAACTTACAAGTCAACCCAGTCAACACTCCGACGATTCCAATTCCTCCGCCATTAAAGCTCTGTTGGAGCTACACACCGAGTCCGATGCTATCCTTTCTGGCGACCCAAATCTTTCTTCTCTTTCTAAGCACCTCACTGACCTCAAGGATTTAGTTGAGTCCCTTAGAAATACCAAAGGAGGCCTTGGCCTCCGGTCTTTTCTCGCGCGCCGAACCTCCGCTTACTCCATTTCCCGAATCGCAGGGTCAATTGAGTCTGAGATTCAGAAGTGGATAGACCGCGAAAGCGTTGGCAATTTGAGCAGAGCTCTCCGAGAGCCTATGCGCAACGAGGAGGAATTGGTGAACCTTTTGGATCAATTTGAAGAGAGGCTTTCCCTAGGGTTCAGCCGTGAATTTCAGGATTTGGTTCTCCGATTGAAGGTGTTTTCTTCGCTGGAATCGATTTTATGCGATTCTAAATGCTCGAAGAGAATCCGAGAACACTCGGCCTTAGCTATCGCGGGATTGATTCGGTTTAACAAGGACGTCTTCGTAGGCCAGGTCTTAATGGGTCCATCCGTCAGTGCCCTAACCTCAATGGCTTCCCCGAATTCGATTCAAGTCCTGTGCTCGTTAATTAGATCCATAAAATCTCCTATTGTGGACGAAATCAAGTCGAACGGCGAAATACCGAAGATCATGAGCTTCTTAAACTCACAGGATTTACATATGAAAGTGATGGCCATGGATTGTGTGCTAGAAATTGGGTATTTCGGGAGGAAGGAAGCGGTTGAGGCTATGTTGAAGGAAGGTTTGATAGAAAAACTTATAGAGTTGCAAAGGTCCGAACTGGGTGGTGATTTGATCGGCATCGATCAGCATAGCGAGAAAGAAAAAGAAGAAGAAGAAAGTGGGGTCAGTGTTGGAGGAGTGGTAGAAAAAGGGAAGAGGGAAAGCAGGCAGAGACGGTTCCTGCAAAACCATCCGTTTGCAAGCTGTGTGGCAAGATTCGCAGTTCAATTAGAAGTGGGAGAAGGGTTGAGGCAGAGAGAAAGAAGAGCTTTCAAGCAAGAGATTCTGACGAGAGTAAGGGAAGCTTCCGTTTCTGATGCTGAATCTGCCACCATTATTGCCGAAGTTTTGTGGGGCTCTTCACCATAAGCGAAATATGTTGAACCCAAAACAATTTCCCCCCCTTTCTTGTTCTTAATCTTATACCAGAATTTGTACTCAGAGCAAGGACATTACACCTTGAAGGACTCGCCATTGAGACCAAATATGCTTAGTTTTGATGTTATTAGAGTGTGAGAAATATATTGTTAGGAGATATGTTGCAAGAATTCATCGTATTTGAATGTATATAATGTAGCTAGAATTAGGAGCAAGATTTAAAAAAATAGATGATCGGAGGTATAAATTGAATGTATGCTTCGCATTCTTTTTATATTCTCAATTTGTTTGACAACGTTGGATCGTGATTAAAATTGTCAAGGCCGATGTCTGATGATTCTTCGGTTTTGGATGGTCAATTTGTTGTGTCAGCTGAAATTTTAGATGCAAGAAGGGTTTGGTACAAGTGTAGTAAGCAAGAGGGTGGCTATGGAATCTGAATTCTGAAAAGGAATCGTTATGGGATATGCTGGAATAAGAGGAGAGCATGAGGAATGATTCCTGGCACGTGCAATGTAAACATGTCTAAAAGTACACGTCTTAGAATATGCAAATTGCAAGTGGCTCAATCCTCAATGGAAATATATTTTAAAAGTCAGTTTTTTTTTTCCCCACACAGAAGATCTAACATCTAAATTTAAATTGGAAGATGTCCATTTGGTTGGAGGGGAGGACCGGAGGGGGAGTGGCTGTTCCTTCCTATTGTCTGGTTAAAACAATACGGAGGGGACTTTCTTTTTAACCCCTCCTTCTTCAATATTGGGTATTCAGAGAAATTCCTAAAATTCTTCCCTCAGCTCCATACCGTAGAATTAATCAACCACTATATAAACCAAAAACTAAATAGATAAATTGGATGACTCTGCCAACCTTCGGCTATATTTCCATGATAATCAGGTAAAACAAATTCCCATAATATTCACTCTTGATAAATTATGAATAATAAAGTTCGTTTATATGTATACAAATGATATTTTTATATTCTAAACGGGCCTAAATATACGAGTTTTACAATAAATTTTAATTGCTCAATGATAAGTATCACTAAATATAATATAATACCCAGTTTATCCTATTAAAGTAATTTCTAGGATTATATATTCAATAATATAGAAACGGGATCGCATCAATATAATTAATTATTATAATCAAAGGAAAATATATAATAAACACAACACTATCGTTAATATCACTTGTGAACTGTTTCAAAATGGTTCTGACGTGTTTTGAAATGCATTGATGCATTTCAACATGTAGCAAATAAAAAAATAAATACAATACAGACAATTTACGTATCCCACAGGAAGACGCCTTTTGTTACGTCGAAGTGATAATTTCATGGGAAAATTACACTCAGGTCCCACAGAGTACAATTAATATCAAAAAGGTCTCACGAAATCGCGAAATGATTCTGAAGTCCCCAGAAACCTGTGTGTAATTAATTCTAATTGCAAAATTACCTACTTACCCCTGTTAATTTTATTGTAACAATTCGTTTACAATCTCAACAGTGGCTTCTAACAACTCGAGAAGATGTGATTGACAACCTCGGCAGTGCGCATGACAACTCACTTTATAGAATGTCAGGGGCGTTGTTGAGGTTGTTAACCACCTCTTCTCGAGTTGTTAACAGCCACTGTTGATGTTGTAAATAGGTTCTAATTTTATTTACAATCTCAACAGTGTTGTTAACAACCCGAGAAGACGTGATTGACAACCTCGGCAGTGCTCATGACAACTCACTCTATGGAATACCAGGGGCGTTGTTGAGGTTGTTAACCACCTCTTCTCGGGTTGTTAACAGTCACTGTTGAGGTTGTAAATAGATTCAAATTAACAGGGATAACTACGTAATTTCACAATTAGAATTAATTACACACAGGTCCCTGGGGACTTCAGAATCATTTCGTGATTTCGAGAGACCTTTTTGATATTAATTGTGTTCTGTGAGACCTGAGTGTAATTTTTCCTAATTTCATAGGCAAGAAAGATGAATCATGATAAGGGATGATTTATGATTATGTGAAGTCATTTTAGAATGCGCTGGCAACACAACGTGATGTGATGTCTAGTGAATGATGCAGCATCCAAATTCCAAAGCCACTTGGATAAGCGTAACGGAGAGAATTCAATCAATCATGAGCCCCTAAGACCTTTTCTAAGGGACCAGGATGGGCTTTATCTTTTGTTTGATTAGCGGTGCCATATTGAGTCCATGCAATTAACCTTTTTTGTTATTTATTCTAAAGGGTTCGACTTCCATATATATCAACCTCTCATTTGTTGTTGCAACCCTTCTCCTTCACACTTTCCTACAATGCGTTCATGCCCCATGTTTCTCAGAGATAATCATTAACAAAATGGAAATTCTCGTAAAAAAATTATTATAGTAAGATATTTAATTATTTGAACGTAGGGATCTTTGATGTGGTTTGAAATTTGACGAAAAAATCCAGAAGTCTCGGCACCCACGTGGTCATCCAGGCTGGATCATAGGAACATAGGAACATAGGAATTCATAACCTAGAATTTGCCAAGCAAATCAAAAGCTTATGTCAGCAAGCACCCAGAGGTGACCCGGTTTCTAAGTCTGGGTTACATCATCCGTCTTTACTTTTAATTATTCAATGCACAAGTAAGCTGTAAGCCGAGACTGCTGAGAGAATCAGATATAAATTTTGTACTATTTTTTGGGATATCCTACAAAATAAAATTGCCAAATCATAAATAAAGAATTTCATCACTTATCAACATTTGGAGTATTTTTTACCAAAAAAAAAAACACTTGGAGTATTCGAATGAAATACGAGTAATTGATATGTAAGTTTATAAGTTTTCTATTTAGACAAGTTTTTTTGCAGGTATGGAATTCTAAAGGACCGAAATTTACATTGTAGATAATAGACAAATAAAGAAACTGATTTGGTTAGAAGCTGATGAGCAGATGTTTGGAGGCCGTGCACTTTAAAAAAATATTTTCCTGCAAATTGAAACAAAATTTTGCTCACATGTTTATCTTAAATTTTATAAAAATCACTTCTAAAATCTTAATTTAGTGTTCATCCAAACACTCCTAGTGCAAGAGATCTTCATTGTTCACTTAATCATATGACCCCATGTCCTTGTACCTTTTTTTACAATTAAGGAAAAAAATTCTTTATTAAAAATTTTATTATTGAGAAGAACATGATCAGTTCCTAAGTTCCTATACACATAAAAGTATCAGCATTTTGCAATTGGCAAAAATCCTTCTAAACAATAAAACTTTTAACAGAGAAGTTCCCCAATTTCTCCTAATTTCTCTCCTTGACTTGAACACTATATTTTATGTTCAAATTCAAAGGGAAGCAAAACGAACTTGCATAAAACAGTGGAAGTGACAACTTCTGCGAGAATCAAGCACGATTTAACCATCCCAAGAGAAGAAGGCAAAGGGATTCAAAGGCAGAGATCGTATTTTTTACTGTGTTCGGTTACAGGGAGTCGGGACTCCATCATATGAAAATGAACTTCTGCAAGCAAGCATCAGCATGAGACGATGTACATTGCTCTATCCAAAAAATAGTCTAAAAAGCCTCAGGAACACTTTTCATATTTCTTGGAAACATCGCTGTGTTAAATTTATCCACATTCCAACTTACTGGAACAATAAACGAAACCAAAAACTTTCGTTGCTTTGCTATGCTACACAGTTGTAATTTATTTTGTTGATACCTTATTTTTCAGAAACACTTCTGATAGAAACAGGTTCAAGAAATCAACCTTTGACATTCTTCAAGACAGGCATCGGTAGCATCAAGAACAACAAAATTCTCGAGCAGCCTCCTCAAAAGAATTAAAATCTACATGTTTTCCCTCGGCAGGGAAAGGACTAAGTCTATGTTTGGTATCTAGACTACTTCACCACTTCAATTAAATCCATAAACAGAAATGAGATGAGTGCCAGAAAATCAACACCTTAGCCCCCATCCCTTGCTTCCTTCCTCATGTTATCAGCTCCCTTTGTACGTAGCAAGCCATTGAAAATTGAGAACACTGCAACAAGAGCAATTTGTAAATGCTCTGAGCTACTTGTCTTTATACATATTTTCCCCATTTTCCGACTATTAAGATTAGCACTAACAGAAGCCTTAGAATTTCTGCCCAGCCTGAATTCGGATTGTAAGCTTCCACTCAACACCATCTCTTTATTGGAGGAGAGGACTGTCATTGCAAGACTTACATTGTCATTTCTCACAGGAAAATCTCCTCCTCTTAGTGTTGCTTCAAAATTCCCACCATATGCCACTTGCCCGGCACCTACTATGCGGCCTGCATTTAGGACAAATTTTAGTCTTTTCCCAACAAGAACAGTATCCTCAATCTTAGCACCGATATAATACTTCTTCCCAAAAGATGTCACAGAAACACCACAGTCTGCAATATTATGCTTTATGTTTCTCAACTTTGTGTTGCTATGAATCGTATAAATCATATCTTTACCAACAGATTGAACATCAGCACCTATAGAATTCGTAAGACCCCTAGGATCCACGTAAGCTGCAGCACACTCTGATTGAATATTAAAATCTTGCTTGTCTTTATTCATTTGTCCGGTAAGCATTGCATATGCATTCTTGTTTATTTCCATAGCTGTCTCCAAGTTTATACCATCGAAGCCCACATCATGATCCCATCCCTGGGGATCAAGAACAGGTCTTGCAAGCCATTGGTCACTTGCAATAAGGCCACGATACCTATGAAAAGGACAGTCTGAGTCAAAACTCACAGGAACAGCCATATCTGGTAACAGAACAGGCTCTGGAGGTTGCTGCTGATCTTCAGGATGATCAGTATGCAACAAATTTTGCTCCTTCATGAGTGTCTTCTCTCTGTGTCTACGGTACTCTTCTTTCAACTGTTTCTTTAAGTACAGAGTCTCTCTGTAATCCAACTCATCAAGATATTCTTTTTTCTGCACCTTGGACAATTTTTCAAACTGGGCCTTTTTCAAGATTCGAATGGATGGCAATTGATCATATTCATCTTCTTCTTCCACATCATTGAGTAATATTTGATCAATTTCATCATCCATTCCACTCGGATGGGATACAGAGTGTCGCCGTAAAAGGGATGAGAGAAGATGAGGCAGAGAAGGCATTCTTGCACTATTTGAAGGGCCCAGTTCAACACTGTTCTGAAACTTAAGGAGGGAATTAACATCAGCCAGAATTTTGGTACAAATGCAAAATAACAAAAATTGAGATCTCCAGACTCTTCCATTTGGAAGAATCTTCTCCCCCTTGATATTTTTTGGACACAGAGGATGGTTCTCAACCAAGAGAATGGGGTTTTCAAGCCTTGAGTCAGAAACTGCCTGATGAATATAGTGCTGCATTAATTTAGTACATTGAGACACATATAACTCATGATTGACAATATGCCCATCAGGTCCTTCCAGAATAGCTGAGTGGGAATGAGTCATGACAAGGATAGTGTTGAACCAGATTGCTGAGCCAAATACTTCAGTTATAAGCTTCAGAATAGGGAAGTCATTAGAGCCCACATTGACAAGATCAAGTCTTTCAACATACAAAATAATGTCTGGGGGGGACTTTCTAATGAATCTCTTTATGGAGAGCAAGATCCTCTTATTTTTCTTCACATTACTAGTAGAGGAAGGCAGGAGGCCAGGGGTATCTATCACCCTTACTTTAAACCCATTGACAGTTCCAACAACTTCCTGAATCCTGTTAGTTGCAGGTCCAAATGCATCAGTTATGGTTTTCACTTGATCAAATATGGAATTTATGGTAGCACTTTTACCGACTCCTGTTTTACCCAGGACAAGTATGCTGCAGGAGAAATCCAATTGGGGAATACCAACTGCCTCTTGTTCACTTGCCAATGCTCGTGATTTGCCTATGCCAAGGTTAACACTTTTCAGATCTGATTCTCCAGCACGTATTAAGGTTGCTAGGTGCATCCGATAAAGAACCTTTGCAACCATGAGATCTTCTTGTGACTGGCCAAGACGCTGAAGCAGTCGGAAAAACTTAACTTGGAGATCTTCAATCTTTGCCAAGGGATCCTTCTGCTTTCCTATGACACGATGTTGAGAGTGACAGGGTTCTGTATCTGAGACTTGCTGCATGGTGGAGTTATGTTCATCAGAGGAGTTCAATGTAGTAGAAGCAAGTGATGGCACTACCAAAACATCTGACTGAACCAAACCTAACCAAGAAAAAAAGTCATCAGCTTTAGCTCAAATTTATCAATTGTTGGCGAACCGGGACACTAGCCATCACACTCATGATACTTTGTCCTGGCAAAGAAAGTTATTAAGAATTTCAGATGGTTTATCAAACAAACAATGAGGTTCAAGAATTTCTGTTTCCATCCCTTCCAAGAGCTGATTCGAGGCATTATGTCATTCTACTAGTCACAAGCTGACACATAAAGAAGTATACAGACAACCATGTAACTAGAAGATGTTTATTATTCCATGCATTTGGCAACTAGCTTAACCAGGGTTTTATTTGTCAAGCACAACTTGCATGAAGATCTTCAGTTGGAAGAAATTCTATGATTACATTTTCATTTTCAGTAATTCCAGACAAGCAATGAAAAAAGTACCTTGTTCTTCATGTTCTCCGTTCTGAGGTGCCTCGTCATAGAAACTACCACTGCCTGATAGTGGTCTAGATGAGATTAATGACTTGGATAGCAACTGAGAGAAAACCCAATCTCTAACACTTTTCATTCTTCTACAAAATAAGAAAAGAAAGGCCCAGATAATCATCATCTGGCAATGCCTCAAAACAAAACATGCAAAATGTTTATCACATGCGATCAACAAACCACTCGAATGGTCTTCTGCTTCTGCCCCCCAGTTGTTCAATCAGTAAACGGTACATTTTATCCAAGTTCAATGTGAGATCAACCAAGTTTTGTTATTTACACGCGTGGTGGTTGGGGAAACAGATGCAACATAACAAGTTTAAAAAAAAAAAGGTTAAAGAAATATAGGAGCCATAGTTTAAATTCCATCTTCCTCATTAGAAACCAATACTGAAATCACAAACAAAGCGCTGCCCCAATGGTCAGTCAACGTCACGACATACAATCTTAGTTCATTTGCAAGATTATAAGTCAGAGAAAGCCTTCCATAAAATGCAACAATCATCATAAGTTTCGAACTTAACTGATGAAAAGCAGAGAAATTACAACCGAAATAGTTACCTTCAATATTAGATTGCACCAAGCAACTTGGAGCTCAGCATCAAACAAACAAACCAGAGGATAACAGAAGGTCACATTGGCAGCAACAAATCACGTTTCTGGGTAACATATACTCTCTATGATACTCCAATTCGAGGATGTATTCCTCCCGCACCTAATCATCAACCTCCCAAAAACCCTAATTTACGATCAAGGAAAGGAATAATGAAAGCCACCAAGAACTTGACGCTAATTGGAGAATCCGAAAAGACCCAAATTGCTTCCTTTTTGTGGTGAAATGAAGAGGAAGAAGGTGGCGTGAAGATTGAGGATGAGGAAGAAGATTTTCCCGGATAAGACAGAGACAGCGCCAAACACACCTTTTGGCTTTTCCTTCCTTTGGTCTTGTTTTAGTTTCTCCGACTCGGGTCGATTTTGCACCTCTTCCTCAGGATTCTGGAACGAAAAGCGGAAAACACCAAAACGCGAGGTCGAAATGAACCGGGGGTAGGAAATAAATAAATAACATAGGTAAACCGGGATAAGTCATAAATGAGACAACTTGATGCATTCAGGACCACTTAACATACGACAACTCTGCGTTTGATCAAGATTTTAGTATTGGCATATTTTTACTTACAAAATCTAATTTTTTTTATAAACACTTGCAAAATCTAATTTAAATTACTTAAATTTGATAAAAACGTCTTCTTAATTATTAATAATTTCATTTTTTTTCCTATAGATATCTCCCAGCCGACAACTAAATATTAATACCTTTTAAGGCACAAAGATCATATAAGTAGATTTTGCCCTTTTCAATAATATCTTTTTTATGCCCAGGACTTTTTTTTTTAATTCAATCATTCTAATTAAATGAAAACACTAAAATAAATCATCAATATTAGTATAAAATATAAATCATTCATCACCAATGTTAGAAAAAGAAATGGAAATAAATTTCACTTGACAATAAATGTTAGAAAAAGATGTTCAGCAAAAGGAACTCGGCTGATTACACTTGCCATCCATAGCCTATGGACTTGCGATTTTAACAACGTACACATTTTTTATAGTATATAAAGTCTAAAAAAATGAAATGTACTATATTATATATTTAGATTTGGTGTATTAGCTTAAAATTATCACCCACACACACTGACACACATTGATGCATTGATGATTTCCATTTTCCACCCTTTAAACATGGTGGTTATAAAAACATAGAAATAGATAAGGAATTGGAAATGCCAACGCTCACTTAAAGCACTAAATAACTGGAATAGAACTTCTTGTGGAGATGAGCAGCCGAAGTACCCATTACAAGGTGACGCTGAAGGGAACCCAATTTGACAGACACACCAAAATATGACAAATAAAGTTTCAGTGGACAGACAAAGGAGAGGTTGGATACTGAGACCTAAAAAGAAACAATAATACCTCCATTTTTTTTTTTTGCCATAAATCTTATTCACATATCAACTTAATGCTAAATGTGTTTTTCAACGCTTAACCTATGATTCAAGCAGAGTCTGTACGTCACAACAATTCAAGGAACAATTATATTCATAAATTTCCTCTTTGCAAATGCCAGCCACCATTTATTGGGAGTCCCATTGGGTCTGTATGCCACGCTCAATAGCCTCCCACTTGTTTCCTCCCTTGTCTGCTTCAAATAATTTCTGAATAGTTCTGCAATCGGTAGAATCGCATAACTTGAAAAGTAAGAACTTATATGGGCTAAAAAAGGTAATCAAATTGCAATACTGCTTTAACAGACAGAGGCTGAGCATAAAATTAAAAATATACTAGATCAACGATACCATCTAAGCTACTCCCTCCAATCCTGGATATACAAGCTTTTAGGAGTATGCTTTAGTCTTAAATATAAGATCTCCTGAATTTTACATTTTCTTCATAAATTCTCCCAAATTAATACTAGCATTTCCAAAAGTAAATTTTCAAGCCTTCACCCTCGGTTATCAAAAGAATGTATGTCGAGAACTCTGATGACCAATACACTACTGGCATTGGATATTGAGTCAATGCCATTACAACCGCCTACTTAGTGACTTTGGATCATGCCTACTCTTTGGAAGATACATTGAAGAAACTAGAGAATGATTGTCATTATTACTGAATGAGTCATTTCATCTTTACCCGTTTACTTTTAATTTATAGTGAACTATACCAATATGCTATCAAACAATTCTCTAGCCAGAGAAGCAATGAAAATTAGGAAGTTCGCACACTGCGGGAACTAATTAACTTTGAGTTTTAAGCCAATTAAAATTAAAAGTAGTTAGCATGTTCAGTAGAGCACCATAGACATTACAAGAAATACATTTAGTCACCTCACTACTACAGATTGTAAGAAACATTAAAGAACTACTAATTTAAATGCAGCAAGTCGCAGCTATTACTGAACATGCATAGAATATATTAAAGCATCCTGACATAAATTGTGATTCCACAGGCAAAGAAGGGGTACTACCTGCTTCCTTCCGTGATTGCGGAAGAGGGAAAAGGCCTGGAAAAGGAAAGCCAGACTCTCCAGGTACAGGAACGTCTTCCAGACCCAAGTTAATGATTGCCTTCGTACCTTCGGCTAAAGTTCTGCAACCTTCAAGCCTCTTGAGAGCCACGTTAATGTAAAATGTCAGGTATATAAGAAGCTTATCAGCAGGGCTCTTGATATCAAAGTTTCGGAAGAAAACATTGGCGCGAAAGAACGTGATAGCTTCATCCACTATATCAGTTCTGTCTGCATGAAGCAAGTCTTAATTTCCAAATAAGGTAAATGAAAAGATTTTAAGCAAATTCAAAATATAAATAATTGAAACCTTGATCTGAATTTGGAGCCGGTCCCTTTATGTGGCTTTTCAAGGGAAGTAGAGGACACCCACAAGCTTTGTCGACTCCTTCTTCATCAACAAAACTAGAATGATGAACCTTCAAATCTCAAGTGATATCAGTGGAAGTACAAGTTTCGACAAATTCTAAAAGTTACTGTTAAATTTGATGGCCCTAACTTACGCAATTTATAACTACAAGAACTAGATTCTAAAAGCATAAAATGGGAACGAAAGAAATTCAATCTGATCACCATCTCTTTTCTCCGGATTAAATGATGTTCCACCGGACTAACTCGATTACTGAAATGATCCGATCCTCCAAAATGCAGCCCAAAATCTCTGAAAAAAAAAAAAAAGACCACGGAAAATAATATCAACCCACGACTAAAAAGCAGATCCGAATTAACAGATCATCAAGATGCTAGAACCAATTGATCAAGATACCTGATAGAATCGAAGAAAGATATATTCACCAATGAATTACATTCAGCAGAACAAATTCGTAACAAAATTCAGCGACTAAAGAGACGATATAAAGTTGCTGGCACCACCCTCCGTTGGGTGAGGGAAGAGCAATTTCTCAACAAAGATTCGAGAAGTTATGCAGTTGAAAAGGAAATTTTCGGAACGAGCGCGATACGATTGTTATTTTCCGATATTTTGAACCCCCGAAAGGAAACCGCGGATGAAACGCGATTTTCTTAAAAATGGTTAAATGTAGTAAAACATCGGCCGAAAAATCGCATTAATTTGGCGTAATACGCAAGGAAGCTGGTGTGAATGGCATGTGTGAAGAAATGAAAGGCAATTTGCAATGTTCCAAACCCTAACACGACGGAGAAAGAAGACGATGTTACAAGCAAACAAGAATGCCGATGCCTCTTCCTGCTCGTCACTCTGACTATAGGTCAAAGTGGAAAACTCAAAATAAACCGTGAAGGTAGTAGTCCGTCATGAAAACGCATTTTTATATGATTTTCTTAAGAGGTGTTTGGATGAAAACCAAACCATGGTTTTAAAAGTGTTTTTACGGTATACGAGACAAATATGTGAAAGAGTTTGTCTCGTTTTGCGGAAAAGTGCTTTTGAGAAACACTTCTTGGTGCTTCCAAACACCCCCTTAATTTAACAATACCAAATATTGTAATATTAAGTGATTGTATGAAATATAAATTTAATTGATGTGAAAAAACAGTAATAGAAACAACAGTTTTATTTCCCCTGTAAAAATAGTCCTTTTATCTTACAAACAGCAAATAATACTAGTTTTATTTGTTAATTGTTAATTCTCAACTAGATATGATATGAGTCACATACACTAAAACAAGCCATACAAAATTAGGACCTTGCACACAGATAAGAAGTCCCGTTTCCGCACAAAACCCTCCTAGACATCTCATCTCTTACAAACATCTGAGCTAGTGACCAAGCTTCTATGACAAAGACTGACACAAATAAATAAGGGAATAAAACTGTACATGCCACTATGCCAGTTCCAATATACAATAAAATGCTTAACGTGGATTGGAGATCAAGAAATCAACATCATCACTAGAACAAGCTTGTAAAGGATGAGGTCAACATGTAAGGGAAGTTAGCCAAAGGTCCATATTGCTGGGCAAGTTCATGAATGTCCTTCACGATGTCAAACACTGCCTCTGGTTGGGCTAGCTTCAGTGCATTCTCTGACATTCTCTGCAGCTCATCAGATTTTGTACTGAACCATTCTGCCACTATTCTTGCTGTTTCCTTGGGACTTCTGGTGAACACTCCAGCTCCATTGTCTACCACATAAGGTACATTACCCCTTTCCTGCAGTCATCATTTCAACCATAAAAAAATTGAATATTTGGCGAAATCAGTGAGAAAATTTGAATGCAGAAGAGTAGAACAATTTGATCAAGAGAGATCTTAAGCAGACCTAACGCATGTTTGGATTCGTTTTGGAAAACACCGAAACCACGTTTTGGTGGAAGCAGCCTTTGGATTGCTTCTGCCAAAACATGGTTTTGATATACCATTCATAGTTGAGCTAGTGAAAAGATGTTTTGCATGCTTATATGTCTAGCGATCAGCTTAGTTTTTTTATACTGGATTGACTAGATCCACAGATTTGTATAAAAAAGCGATATACTGGGTCTACCTAACAACGCATAACATGCTTTTGTGTGTGTGTGTGTTCATGATCATTTGGCTTAGCCTATTCATACTTGATATACCGGGTCTGCCTGAGATTTTTTTCATTTCATTACTCACCTGTCCAGGGATATAGTCATTGAGGATTATAGGAAGCCCTCTGATCAATGCTTCTGCAATAGTACCTGGTCCCGCCTGCAAAGTTCAGAAAAGTAAAGAACTCATAAGCCTATGCTGAAATAAGGAGCAGCATCTAAATTGCAGATAGGTGAAACTTACTTTAGTTATAATGCAATCACAGGCTCCCATCCATTTCTGCATCTGAGTCTCAAACCCTCTTATCTGTACCAGTTTAATAAACAAATGCTCAACATGTGCCATTCTATTCTGCAGATGATGCATTGTTGTCTGTTCAGATATGAGAAATTCAGATAGAAGCCAAACCTTAACAGGAATTTTCCATTCAAGAGACTGAAGCGTGGATGCTAAGTTCTTATTACGACCACATATTATTATCAACTGCCCAATTGGTTTCTCAGCTGCTTTATCCCAAAGTGATTCTCCCAGAGCCTTTGCTGTTTTCTTTACAGGACCCATGCCTTCGCCGCCCCCCATCAGCAAAACTGCAGGCAAGCTTGGGTCCAACTCAAGTTCTTCCCTTAATTGATCCTATAGATTTAAAACTCAACTAATTGTTTTACCCAGATCAAAACTAACCATAGAAGTGTCAGAGATTATTATAAAACTATTCATAGGCAAGTTATTCATTGGCCTTTACTCAACGGTTTAGACTTTTGAATTGTAAGTCTTTGACAAAATGCATACCTTGGAGAGAACAGCACGGGCAAAAGACGGCCTGATGGGCAAGCCATAAACACAGACTTGAGACTCTTCAAGACCAACTTGTAAGGCTCTCTTGGCTACCTCCTGAGAAGGGCAGTAACATCTACTTACTCCTGGATGAAACCTGGGAATAACTCCAGGCTTAAGAGCGTGTAAAAATTGTTATTTTAACTAAACTAAGCAAGTGAATTAAAATGGTGCAGTGAACTCACCAAGTAGGGTGGCAGGAACTAAGATCTGTGATCACCGTGACAAAAACCACTTTATTCTGCAAACCTTGCCACTTAAGAACCCACAGTGGAATATGTTGCATTAAGGGATGGACGCTGATTATAATATCTGGTTTATACTCCATTAGCCCTGCTTCCACCTCCCTGACAATTTGAGAGTGTAAGACAATTTAGGAGATATACCACTTAATTTCAATAACGTAAGCCGTACAACTCTCAAATATTTCACCCCATAAAAACTAATAGCTTCTGCCAGCTCAGGAAAATATTACTGCTTTTTCCCAAAAAGAACAAATAATTACTGTTTTGCAACAAAGGTGAATGAGCAAAATGAACCAAAGGTTTCTGAAATCATCTTTTGTAGGACAAGATCATTAGAGACGCAAATGTGCAGAACTAGACTATCCAATATGCAAAAAGCAATCTGATGACGAATAGATATATAAATAAACATGTCAGAGGTAGGTTTCAACTGCTGACATGGTCATATCGTTCATGATTCCCCTGTCTTCCTAGGATTTTTCAAAGAAAAACAACGGAACGAACATAAAGTACGTCAATTTATATTCCAAGCATAGTAAGTTGTGCTAGTTATAATAGGAAGCTGCTTATCAAAGTGTATCCTAATACAGTAAATTAGGTGACGCTGCTAGCTGCTTAACTCTTGCAGTTACGAATTGTTATCTGGCGAAGCGTATAAGTTATAAAAAGGGAAAGAAGAAAAGAGATGGAAGAGGATTGTACTTGGCATAGTAGGCAGCAATAGCAGCTAGATATACAGAGTGTATCCACTTGGGAGAAGTACCATGAAATGCAACATTCCACAACTGCACATGTTTCACCATAAATTTATATTGACTCTCCATGTCGTTCAATGGCCATCCAGTGTACTCTTTCCAAACATCTTTAACAAATATCTGAAAAAGACAGAGGTCATTTCATCAGCCCAGAAATGTGAAGGAAGAATTGATGATAGCATATAAGTCCCACAGTGCTGGGCAAATAGCTCCAATATAAATAAAAAATTGCGACAAAATCAAGGGCCGACAAAAATTTAAGCGGTTCGAGAAGAATACTGTGCAATGATTTTCAGCTAAATTTGACTACGTACACAGTAGAAATATTTCCCGGGTAAGAATGGAAGAAAACAAAAATAGCAGATCCAGAACGTTGTGTCTTTGATGGAGAAAGAATCTCAAAGGAATTCAAGATATAGAGAGAGAAAAGACGTTGAGATGATAGAGTAAGCAAAGCCCATCATAAACGAAGAACAAATTAGAAGTTATTTACACTGTACTCGTCCCCAAATTCCAATTGAAACGCATCACGAATGGCCTCGGCGGAAGCTCTGTGTCCGCCACCAGTATCACTCATCAAAATCAACACGTTCTTGGATCTGGCAGCTCCAAGCTGCACAAGCTCCATCCCCGCGTCGTCGTCGCCGCCGCCACCATCGTCATCGGCGAGATTGATGTGAGTCTCCCGGCCATTTCTCTTCTGACTGCTACTTCCATGATGGTATCCTCCCACCTTCTGAAACACCTTCTCTGCAATGAACTTCGTCGTAAAGGCCATACCTCTGAAAGCCCCAAGCAGGAAAGAGGATTGAACAGGGAGTCAACAACCAAAGGAATAGAAAAGAACAATATTCTTTTTCTTAGTGACGAAGAGACCCGAGTCTCACCTAACGGTCAAGTCCCGTTCCCGCCACCGGAATTGGGGGTTTCCCGGCGGAGAGAAACGGAGAGTTCAACGGAAGAAGGAATATGCGCGGGGAATTCGGATCCTGCTCTTCGCCAGCATTGAGCAATGGACAGCGAACGAGGAAGGTTGATAAATAACGAGGTCCAGGGGGTCCCACATTCCGTTATTCTTCGCTCTTCCGAAACGGGAATCCTGTCCCTTCAGATTCTTGCATTGCATTGACGGCTTATGGTCGTAGGATCCCCGTATTGTTTATTTCCTGAATTTATGCGAGATTAAAATCATTTTTTACTTGTTGCCCACTCGCACTAAACTTCCACGTAGCTTCCTTATTTTAATTTTTACGGAGAGTTTCCTACAATGAAATATTCATGTAAAGAATTAAAAAAACATGTTAAAATGCTTTAAAGTTTTGTAATTATTTTTTTATTTTCTTACAGAAGGATGGATTATACATTAAAAACAAAAATAAATTAAGTAAGAAGGAAGCTTACACAAACATATTAGACAATACTGCTACGTACATTGAAGTCTAGTGGCACAGTAGAAAAACAGTTCAAACACAAAACACCCACGAGGGATAACAACATAGTAAATTAACAACCATGAAATAAACACATGAATAATACAATTTCTGATTTTTAACATAAAAGTTAGTTTGACTTTTAATTTGATCATAAATATATGATCTCAATTCATTTTGCCTCTCGTATTTATATATTTTTTCAATATAGTTTTTGTAATGATTGCACATATTAAATGTTTTATCAAATGATATTTGATTAGTAAGGATATTTTAAGAAAGACAATACATATTTACTACAAATAATTAACTAATTTTCTTAATTTATTTAAATTAGTTAACTGGCCTTAATATTAAGGACGAGAAGCAATAATAAACTGCTAAACAGGGGCTAGAAGATACCAATTCATGCGCGAACAAATTTTCCTCAGCTAATTCATATCACCATAATGCACAAATCAACATAAACTTTACAAGAACAAATGTGCCTTAACGCCATACCTTCACAGGATGGCCAATGACATCTACTGGGATCTAATTTAATAAGAAAATAACAATAGCAGCTGTCGCATATATCTAGCCGGCAAGCCGTCTAAAACCTTCAAGTAGGAAGACAATGCTTAGTTTTTTAACATAAATTTTCTTCAGTCCACCATTGTTAGCTGATTCTTTTTCTTTTTCTTTTTTGACCAGAACATTGTTAGTTGATTCGAAGAAACTACAATTGTGTCTTTCTTTTTCATTGTTAAAAACTTCGAAATACATAAAGTTTTACCAGGGGAAAATTCAAATTATATTGTCGAAGTCTTAGTTAGGAATTTAATCTGGTCCTTAATACAATTTGAGTAAATTAAGAGAATTAGTTAAATTAGTTATTTGTAATAAATAGGTATTGTCTTTCCTAAAACATCCTTGATAATCATGTGTATTAACTAGAATTATCGTTTAATAAAACCTTTAATACATACAACTATTACAATAACTACCTTAAAAAATAAATAAATATGAGAGATGAAGTATATTAAAATCTTATATTTATGATCAAACTGAATGTTAAAATAACTATTATATTAAGGACCGGAGGTAACATAAGAGCTACTTAACTAATTTTAGTATATTAAAGAAAACAATTAAGTTATTTATTTGTCATAAATATGAGTTGATTTTTTTAAAGTATATTTTTTTAGTCATGACTACTCTTTCTTCGAAACCTCATAACATAATACATGTAATCAATAACGATACTTTAAAGAGTAAATGACAAATTTGGAAAACAAAATAGATTAATCTCTTATATTTAGAACCAAATCAACCCCCTAGTTACTTTTTGGGTTAATACAAACTTTGATATCTCAAGTTTGTCTTTATTTTGGTTTTTGTCCCTCAAGTTTTAAACTATAAGTTTTGGCCCCTTAAATTTCTTTTTATTTATAACATTAATCCCTATAATCTAAAAAAAACTTGGATTATTTTGCCCCTTGAGGAAACCAAACCTATGATTTGAAACTTGAGGGGCTAAAACCAAAATGAGAATAAACTCGAGGGATCAAAGTTTATGTTAACCCTTACTTCTTGTATTGGTATTATGTTTTGAGAGAGTTTTAATATCAATGAACCAAAATTTGAGTGCTTCATGTGAGATTAATTGTTCGAAAAGGTTGTTCACGATAACATATACTGCCCCAATTCGTTTTAGGGGTTGTTTGATATTTTGATACAAGGTTTTGAGAAACAAATTATAAATAGACACCCGTTGGCCCCGGGGGAGGGGACCATAAACACCCTAATAATGGTGCAATTTAATCAAATTATTCTCATGCTCTCTAGTTTTCTTTACTCGTGAATCGTGATACAACAACAAGATACTAGCTCTCGTTATTAATATAAGATCCTATTTAATTTTTATTTTGATCCCAAATATAATATCCAGATCTATTTTGTCTCTCATATTTATACTTTTTTTTCCCAAATAGCCCTTCTAATAATGATAGTTCTAGTCAATACACTTGATTAGCAAGGATATTTTAAGAAAGACAACACCTATTTAGGACAAATAACTAACTCAACTTAGTTTCTTAATCTTCTCAGATTACTCAACTGACTCTTATAATTAGGACCGGAGGTAGTATTAAAAAACCATGCATTAATTACCATGTTAAAACTAAGATATACTACCTCCAGTCTTAATTATAAGAGCTAGTTGACTAATTTGAGGAGATTAAGAACAGAAGTTAAGTTAGTTATTTGTAATAAATAAGTGTTATCTTTCCTAAAATATCCTTGTTAATCAAGTGTATACGCTAGAATTACCATTGTTAGAAGGACTTGCTTAGACAAAAATGTATAAATTTGAGAAACAAAGTGAATTGGGATCTTATATTTATGATCAAAATAAAAATTAAACGGGATTTTATATTAAAGACCAGAGGTAGTATTTGATTATCCCTTGAGATTATAAACCCATAGGTAAAATGGAATAAAAAATTGCTAAAGTGCGGATCAAAATGAAAAGGAGGGAGTATATACCAATAAGATATTATTCATTGATAATTATCAAGACAAAAGAAGTAAAAAAATAAAATACAAAACAACTTAAAATTTTTTCAGCATAGGAAAAAGAACTTAAATTAAATTGACTCATATTATATAGAGAAGATTTATTTTTTGAATGTATCTTCAGTTCGGCCAAAAAAAAAATGTATCTTCAGGTTTTTTTTTTTGCTAGCATATCTTCAGGTATTTTGGGCTATTTCTAATGAGTTTTATATAATGTTAAAATGCAGCATTTAAATTTTAAAAACAATAATGAGTGTATTTGATACTCTTTCAATCCTTAATATAAGATCTATTTAACTAATTTGATTAGATTAAGAAAGTTAGGTAAGTTAGTTAATTATAAAAAATGTAATACGTTTTTTTTAAAACACCATAATCATCTTTCTTAATATCTCCTCTCATTCTTCTACTTGATTATGGTTGAGGGGTATCCATAAGGATAATTTAGAGAAAACTGACAGATATGATAAATGAGTCTTATATTTAGGACTAAAACTAACTCAATAATTGAGTCTTATATTAAGGATCGGAGGAGTATTTGATTTGATAGCTCGGCCAACAAATTTGGGTGAAAAAAACATTTATATCCTAGAAAATTTTAAAATTTTACTCATTTTAAAACTTGCCCCTTTATAATTTTGATGTTCCAAACAGACCCTTGTCTCATAGCTTCGATTCACTCACCCTCATTTACCCTATTTTCACAAGAGGCCCCAATTCTAGGTTTTTCTGTGCATCTGAATCTCTTTTCAGAGACCCTTCTCTGGGTAAGTCCTTCTTCGTCTTCCACTAGCTGGGGTTCATTCCTCTTGCTCGACTGTGGTTCTAGTGAGCGCTTGTCGGAAAAATTAGCCCGAACAACTCGTAGAGAAATTATCTTTTTTAAAAAGAGAAGGTTATCATCTTTTTCGTCCCACCTTTGGACCGTTTACAAAGGTGCATTGGTGTTCAATTGTTGATCATTTGTTACTACTAGTTTGTGCATGTTGTGCATGCGATGGAATTGTCTGGAAATAATTGATCAATGGAAGTTGTGTTGGTTGACTCGGTTGATCACTATTTCCAGTTTAAGCATCCATCGTAGGCGTTTCCATCTTCTATTTTTGTTCGTTTCCATTAAGTGGGTGGGATTTCTGCTGAAAAGAATAGTCATATTATTTTTCCAATGTATAGGCTCGTCCATCATCTTCTTCCTTAGATAAACAGAAATAGTCATATTGCCACTCTGGGGCCAGTTAGCAGATGCTTATTGGTGGTTTTATGTTGATGACTCGTAACCATAAATTCATATATTTTGTTCATTTGATGGGATTATTTTGAAAGAATTTATCACTGCAATTTGTGTCAAGTTTTGTTTGTTGACTTTGCTGATAACTATTTCTAGTTTTGAAAGAGTGCTTGTGTTCGTTGACTTTGTTTTCTCATCTTCTTTCTTTGCCCGTGTCCTTAAAAAGTATTCTGTCTTTGGTGAAAACAAAGCTGTTATTTCACAGTTTTCGTTTTTCTGCAAGGAACACAAGCACTCTTTCTTGACGTTGTTGGCCTTCCTCTAAATGGTTATTGTCCGTAAATGCAATTTTAAATTTACTTGTTGACTGTTGAGTATAATTTAGACACATACTCATGAACTTCAATCTAGTTGTGGAAATGGTGAGGGGGAAGCTTATACTGATCAGCCAATCTGGTGGTAAATTTTTAACAAATGACGATGGATCTATGTCATATACTGGAGGCGAAGCGCATGCGGTGGAGATTAATCATGAAACGACTTTTGAAGATCTCAAACTAAAACTTGCTGAATTATGGAACTTACTAAGTAAGACCCTGTCCATCAAGTATTTTCTTCCGGGGAACAGGAAAACTTTAATCTGTATATCAAATGATCGAGACCTGAAGAGGATGAAAGAATATTATGTGGATTCAATTACTGCTGACGTTTTTATTTCTGGGACAAAAGGTTTTGACCAGGAATCCTTGAACATGAATACCAGGTTGTTCTTTAAATTCTCTTCTTTCATTAATGTTTAGACAATGCTAATTTTCCACCCTTGTAAATAATGATGCTGCCCCTATAAAATGATTTTGTCTGCCAGAATTAGCCTTCTTATTGTTCCAATTAGTTCTACACAGTATATTCACATTGATTAAAGCTTACCTTCATTTGCAGGAGAAATGATATAAACGTAGCCGAAGCAGTGACCCCTGTCAATCCTTCAAAAACAAAACCTAAGACTGTTCGCAAACAAACAGCATCAGGTACGGCTGCTGCTACCTTAAGGTCCCCACTCACCCCTCTTGTTTGTATGCCAAATTTGCTGACTTTGTTATCTGTTAAATTGACTACCATAAGTCTCCCTGCAGTAGGCACTTCTGCAAACCGTTCTCCAAATCATGCTGTTACTACTAATCATGGCGCTGCCTGTTCCAATCCGCCTTGTTCTGTTTCCATTGCCACTGATACATCCTCTCATGGCCGAGTCATCAGTGATATGGATGCTAGTCCTGCAGATGCAGTTAAGAAGCGAAGGCGTGCTGCATCTCGGGCACTTACTGCAAATGGTCCGTCTATGAATGCAGAAGAAAGTAAAAAAGTGATGTCACGGAAAAAGAATAAAAGAAATCATGCTGCTGCTGCTGCTGATAATAGAGAGGACCAGCTATATTTGCCATGTAATGACTATTCTGACAATTTGCTTGATGTTGGATCTGACATAACTCCGGGAAAATTAGCTGAATGTTGGAAAGACAGTATTACTGGTGTTGGACAGGACTTTCCAAGTGTCCAAGAATTTCGTGACGCCTTGCAGAAATATGCCATGGCACATCATTTTGCCTATAGGTATATCAAGAATGACACAGTTCGTGCCAGAGCCAGATGTGTATGTGAAGACTGCCCATGGAGGATTTTTGCTTCCTGGGTTCCATCTGATCAATCATTTAGAATTAAAAAGATGGAGGAGCCACATACTTGTGGAGGAAAATCTTGGAAGTCTACTCATCCCTCAAAGAACTGGTTGGTAAATGTTGTAAAGGACAGGCTACGAGATAACCTTCATCATAAAACAAAGGAGATTGCAAGTGCCATTCACCGAGACTTTGGGATTGAGTTGAATTACTCTCAAGTATGGCGTGCGGTTGAGGAAGCTAGGGAACAACTGCAAGGTTCATACAAAGAAGCATATAATCAGTTGCCAAGGCTTTGCGAGAGGATGTTAGAGTCAAATCCTGGCAGCTGTATCAAGCTCGTCACAGGTGATGACAAAAGATTTCAGCGTCTTTTTTTGTCGTTTCATGCTCTGATACGAGGATTTCAGGCTGGTTGCCGCCCTCTTCTATTCCTTGATTCGTCATCTTTGAAATCAAAATATCATGAGGTTTTATTGACAGCCACTTCACTAGATGGTGATGATGTTGCTTTCCCTGTTGCTCTGTGTATAGTTGATGTTGAGAATGATGATAACTGGAATTGGTTTCTAGAGCAGTTGAAACTTGCATTACCGACTTCCCAGCCTATGACTTTTGTGTCTGACAGAGAGAAGAACTTAAAGCAATCAGTTCTAAAGGTATTCCAAAATGCCCAACACGGTTATTCCATGTACCACCTCCTTGACAGTTTCAAGAAAAGTCTGAAGGGCCCTTACCATGGGGAAGGCAGGCCTTCTTTGCCAGTTAATTTCCTATCTGCTGCTCATGCACTGCGGCTCGATGGTTTCAAAATGTTCTTAGAACAGATTAGAAAAGTTTCTACAACAGCATATGATTGGGTCATGGAAGTTGAACCAGAGCAATGGGCAAGTGCAGTATTCAAAGGTGAGCGATACAATCATATTCTCGTAAACGTCGCTGAGTTATACACCATGTGGATTGACGAAGTGCGAGAGGTACCTATAGCACAAAAGGTAGAAGCTCTTGTATGTAAGATCGTGGAGTTAATAAACAATCGTCGAGCAGATTCAAGTAGTTGGACATTGAGACTGACTCCGTCAAAGGAGGAACTGCTGCAAGACGAATCCCTCAGGGCACAAGGCCTTAAAGTCTTGTTCTCATCAGACACCTTGTTTGAGGTTCATGATGACTCTGTCCGCGTTGTGGATATTGAAAAGTGGGACTGTAGCTGTTTGAGATGGAAAGCAACAGGGCTGCCATGCTGCCATGCTATAGCTGTCTTGAATTGCACCCATCGAAGTGTATATGACTACTGTGCGAAATACTTCACAGCTGATAACTTCCATCGCGTGTACTCTGAATCCATAAATCCTGTTTTTGATTATTTATCCATGAATCCTGCTTCTGATGATTTGAACAACGAGGAGGAAGCTAAGGAGGAGACAGAGATAGAGACTGAGAATAATGTACTTCCTCCTTGCAATTCTAGACCTTATGGCCAAAATAAGAAAGATGAGAATAAAACACCAAAGAAATCTAGGAAGACTGTCACATGTACCAAGTGCAAAGGAACAGGCCATAATAAGGCTACTTGTAAAGAGGCATCGTGAGTTTTCTGGACTGCCAATGCCACTAGGTGTAGAAGTATTTCTACTCCATCAATGTATTATAATAATAATTTAGGCTTATGTGGCGTTGGTGTTTTAACCCCTTTTCTGGTTATTGGCAATATTTAATAAGAATTCAATTGCAGTTGGCTTGTTTCTTCCAATGTGTTTCGCAGGTATGTTATTCTTTGCATCTAAACTGTTTTAATCTCATTCAGTGATACCCATATATGACCTTGTAGAATGGTGCATTAGGCTAACATCTGTAACCAATAATGCAGATCACACCAGGAGAGCCATTATTTCAACAGCAAATGTCTCGAGTATAATTTAAAGACTTCTAAAATTACATTTTTTAGGCATACTTTCAAGTCTCTCTGTTACTATATACTGTTGTATAACTTTAAACTTTTTAACTAAATTATTCTTAATTTAATTTTTTTAATTTCTAAAGATTGATCTAAGTTGATGATTTGTTTTAGTTTAAAAAAACTCTCAAGTATTATATAATTTTTTTAAAAAAATAATTCTGCATATATTTAAAAAGGAAAAAAAATCTGTGATTTTCATAGGATTCATAAATTTATACAAGGTGAAGGAGTAAATTTATCTATTATAATATCAAAAAGGAGTATTAGGCGTTATAATAAAATGTTAAATACAAAAATACATGCGAACATTTTAAAATGAAGCAAAATTACTAAGTCCGTTAATTCTCTCAAACATTTGTTAGTTTTTCCCTTTTTGGGTCCCAGTTTGTCTAAGTCAGCTGCTCTTGCCTACCCTGGTCAATCTCTCTCCTCCTCATCCTTCCTCCCTCTCTCTCCTAATTATCAACCGTCTCTCTCTTTCACCCATTTCTCATTCGACAGCGACACCCATACAAATGAGAAGAGTGAAAGAATGATCAGAACAAATGAGCTTTATCACAAGAGCATGCTTTTGATCTGGGATGAGCACTGTTCACTGTCATTTTCATAACTAGAGGAGTGAATCTCTGTGGCTGGTTCGGAGAGAGACGCGTTTGAATAGGCCAAAAGAGAATGCCATTATGGAGCAAAAAGAAGCAGCAACAATCATCGTCTTCATCATCGTTGACAAGCAAATGGCTTTCTTCTCATCCTCATTGAGACTATGGACTGAAACTAAGACCTTTCCCCTCTGGCTGTTAACGTTTGGTCCGTTCGGCCGCCATAAGACTAAAGGTTCCTCACTATCTCTTCGTCTACATTGAAAGCATTTTTGAATCAACTTGGCATGTTTAAGCGTTGTTTTTGCTGTGTTCCATGCTTGCCTTGTAGGGTCTTTGGGTGCTCTTCTTTTAGGTTTCCAGGAAGGTAGAATCTCTGCTCCGAGTTGACAAAATGTACAAGCTAATAGTAGTAAACCTGTTAAGCTTAACTAATTTTCTAGCAAAATTAAATGAGCTTAGCTTACTCTTGGGATATTGAATCAAGCTGGTTTTCCTCGTCGACGGTGTCCATGAGAGTGATGGCATCAAGTTGGGTATCCCGATCATCGCAGTGGTATGTTTCAGCACAACCATGGATACCAACTTCGATCACTCCCTTGCCTGATGTAGACCACACAAATCCAATAGCAAATAACTAAACTAATGAGAGAGAGATTGGTGATAGAAGAAGATGGTGCCAGAAAGAAAAAGTGTAGAGAGAAAGAATGGTGATAGAAGGGGGGTGTTAGGAGGAAAGCATAATGTGTGCTGGTAGGGAGGTGGTCACGTGTTAGGAGGGCAGGGGGAGAGAGACAGAAGGGGTGAGAATGAGACGGTAGTGCCTCACAAGAGCATTTAACAAATGGAACTGGGATGGGATCCACAAAAATAAAAAATAACGGACGTTAGCAAGAATTAACGAAATGGTATTTTCGCTTGGTTTTAAAATGTCAATGTGCATTTTTGCATCTGATATTTTATTATGATACATGATACTTCTTTTTAATATTATAATAGGTATATTTATCTGAGTGCAAAACCCCAAAAACAAAAGTTCACAAAAGCCATTGCAAATATTGCTCCACAAAAATAAAAATTAGCCCTTGTTTAGAGAACAAAAATCTGGTGTTTGTCCTTGTAATTAAAAAATAACAACAACAATGATTGAATTTCATTTTACAGATTCAACAAATAAATAATTTCACAAATTACTAATTTAATCATTATAGTCGTAAAATTAAAATATTACGTAATAAAATTAATATATCTACAACCATTTATTAAATATTCATTGATGATGTCGTATTATTACAGTATAAACCATATATCCCTATTTATCAAAGAGAATTTTTTCAAACACGCAGGTACAGTATACTTGTCAAATCATGTATTTCCTTTTAGGGAAAAAAAAAAACAAATATTTCACCGTGACTTCTAGTTTACACACACAAAATTCGTGAAATTTGTAATAAATCACACTAGCAAGAATACTTGATAAGCAAGAAGGTTAAAGATAAAAGCTAGCATTTTTATTAGGCAGTCATTGGAATTCTGATAAATCTCCAGCAACTGCATTGTATCAGTCTCAACTCTCAAAACACGTCAAAGCGAAGCATAAGTTGCCATCTAATATTTCTCTCTTTACACAAAGCGCCACCAACTCAATAATACAGACCCTAACGTACTAAAACCCCTATACTGCATATCCTACCGCTCAAATTCCATTTCAAGCAATACCAACTACTTTTTGTGTCTTGATCTGGATTAGTCTAGATCCCCGATAAATCAATGACACGGATTAGTCTAGATCTCCGATCCCCGATAAATCAATGACTCGGATTAGTCTAGATCCCCGATATATCCTCGGGTTAAAGTGAGGCAACTCTGGCTGCTCCCCAACTAAGAACTAGTTTTCATGTCATGATCTTGCAGAGAACTCTACTCTTTCACCTTGTTCATGATCAGTAACAAGTTTTGAAGTCATCATCCTGCAAAAGTAGACCCACACACAGGGCATGGAGGGTCACGTCTTTCTTCAAAGCTGGTTTTCTGATCCAAGCACTCTGCATGATAAGCATGGCCACAAACCAGGACTGCCACAATTGAAGAATGGTCGTAGGAAGAAGATAAAGGATTCCCGTGCAAGAAATTTTTTCGTTTTAATGGCTTCTGACAAACCCCACATACCATCTTGACTGCATCAGAGGATACTGCGTCTGCAGCTAAGGAACTCGACCGGATTCTCTCTGGCCGGGAAAATATCTTGTCTCTGAATTCTGGGGGAAAAAAATTAGTGTCAACATGTCAAGGGGAGAATACACATGAACAAGAAATCGCCAGAAGATAAAAGCTTGAAAAAAGAAAAGTGGTACTGCTCCTTTGGTCCCCAAACCCCAAAAAATGCATGTTCAACCAACTTAATCTTCAGAAGATTAGTTCACATCATTTGACTTTGAATTTCTTAAAATCTAATCAATATGATCCTGCCAAGGATAATTTGACGGTGAAGAGTTCACCCTAGGACCATCTAGAGAGGTTTTTCAAAATGTTTAGAGTCAAATGACAATAATTAAAATTGACCTAACCTATGTCTTTCAAGGACCAAAATGGTAGTTTACTTGGATAAATACATACAGAAGACCGGTGCTCCCAGAAAATTCAAAGTTGGATGTAAGCATTAGAATACAGGACATGTATAAAAATATAAATAGTTTAATTATTGAACAAATCATACCTATCCCACCAAGTGAGATAAAGCTTATTGCTGTTGTTGTATTGAACAAATCATATAAAATATATACTAACTTTAGCACTACAGGTGAGCAACAAAGAAACACCTGCGTGACGTTTGGATTCTGACTTGGATTGAGAAGCCAACTTAAAAGAAAGCTTCTCATCATACGAAGAAGTGTTCTTTCCACAAGAAGACGATGCATTGGCATGATTTGCAGAGTTACGTCGAGAGTACTGATGACCATAGTAATGTCGTGAGCGCTTCAAAAACATAGAACGGCCGAGACTCTGATAGTGATGGGATGTAGTTGGATGGGCATTTAATAACTTCATAGGATCATCTGTCATATCCAAAACAGGTGCCAGAGGATGCATACCAGGATCGCCTGAATGTGAAGATTTCTGCAAAGAAGCAAGAAAACCAAAATACAAATGTATGATAATTTTCCCAAAGCTCAATGGTGACATTAAGATAATAATGCAAGAATAATTTACAAAATGAAATCCATGCGTCAATGAAGTAATTAACAACCATAAATGCGCAAAACTTCAAAAAAGGGGAGAAGAAAAGCAACCTCATCTGACAATAGTTCCATCTCAGAGGAGCATGGAATGACTTCTGCAATGTCAATCAAAAGAACAACAATAAATAATTATATTTCTATTTACAAACTAGAAACAAATAAAAAAATCTAGAAAGTTACTAAAACGGGAAGAGGACTGTTAAATGATTTCGTCTGATGCGATAATGCAGCCAATACATTGCTGTCAGGTTCACAATTTCATGGAAATATTTATCTCATGTAAATGATGAAACATCACTCGAAATTTCCAATTCTGAACCCTAACGTCACTATTTTTACACATAACCTGACAAAACAAAGCACATTGAACAACAATCAGCATAAAAAAGAATAATAAGTCATCAACTGATCAAACCTAAATGAGTCAGTGCAGTTACATTTCAATTTGCAGTGAGAGAAGAGAGAGGGGAGAAGCGGAGAATGAAAGCAAAGAAGAAGAAATAACAACTCCTTGGAAAAATTAAAAGCAAGGATATGATCTCATTAATAGACGATGCTTCCACTAGGTGTCATAGAAAAATGTATAGTTGAATCACAATGTGAAATGAGAAGTTCTTGTTTGAATACAGGAATCAATCCCTCATTTTTCCTTTAAATCCCAGAACTAAGAAGAAATCACCACAAACGAAAAGGGAAAAGGGTGATCAAAAGACTAAATTGAAGTAGTATAACAACAGAATGGATACTGGTGCAGTAAAATTGGAAGAGAAAAGAAAACAGAACAGAAATCTGAAGAACAAAAATCAGAACCGACTAAACAAGCGTTCCAAGACGCATTTGCAAAACCAAAACAAAAACAAGAAGAAGAAGAAGAAGAAAAATTAGAAGGAAAAAAATCCCTTGAAACCCAGTAAAATTACTCTGAAAGGGAGAAAATGGAACGTCTAAAAACAAGAAAGCCAATTGCCTCCTCGGCCGTATATTTTCTACCAGAAAAAAACAGAGGACAAGAGGAGTAAGAGCAAGAATGAAGTGCATCCCACCTGAAATAATTAAGATCGGCCCAAATAAGTAGACGTATCACGTTTTCTCAGGTGCCCATCAATGGAACCGTTTCAAGTAGCTCAAAAGAGTATTTCATTTCTTCACTTTCCTCTATCATTACGCTAATAGAAAGCTTTAAAAAGCATGAAAAATCAGGGGGGAAAACACAATAAAATGAAACGATTAGAAACGTACCCGTAGAAGAGGAACACAGGAGAGGTTGATGATCGGTCTCAGTCTGATCAGAGATTCGTTTCCGTTTTCCCATAGTGATGAAAGGGAGTGTGTAATTAATTACAAAACGGGAAAAAATCTAAATGGGGTTGATGGCTAAGAAAGGCCCACGAATTCTACGGTGTTGAAGGAAAAAGGTTTTGGTTGACATGAACGGTCAAGAACAAATTTTTCAGCGAGAGAACAAGAAGGTAGGGAAGCAGTCTTCTGGTTGATGAATTTTGGGGAAGGAAAGGAAGGGAGGTGGTGTGAGGGTTCAAGGCAAAGCTCTTCTTTTTAACCGTGGCCACGTCATCGTCGTCGTTCTTAGCGAGAAATCATAAGGTTAAAAACGTTAAAACTTGCGACCGACCATGTGAGATTTTCTCTCCTTTTTTCTCTCTACTTTTAAAGAAAAATATCAAGACTTCGAAACTTATTCCGCATAAGGTTCTGAAAATATCATGTTAGAGTCAGATTGGCTACTCCGTTGTTTATGGCTTATCCCTGGAATGAGATAGCATGGCGCTTTCTTTGGGCTGTTCCTTTGTCGATTTCCTAACCATGTTTTTGAAGCAAGCAAAAATCCTGGAAGTCCTCAGTGTAATAAAATAGAGAAAGATCCATAGAAACAAATGAGTGAGTTCACAAGTGATATTCAATCAAGAATGAAGAGCTCTTCACCTCCCCACCAAAATTCTATCTCTTTTTTGCCTCCAGTCAGACAAACAAGATTGAGCTGCTGGATCGTTGTGTTAACTTGAACGGTTGTCTAGTGTTGAGTCCTAAGTATGTGTTAGGTTCGTCAGTCATCTAAAAGGGCAATAAAATGGACGATGCAAAATTTTTGTACTTTAAATATATGCATCCAATAAAATAAGGGTGAACAAAAGAGACGTGAGAGAGAGAGATGTACATTATCCAATCAATTGGCCAATGCTTGAGATTTTTCCACCGTAGTGTATTTCACAACTCCGAAACTTTAGGACAAATATTTTAGATTTCTCAAATATGTAGTTACTTCTTTTTACCTGGGCAGTTAAGAAACCAATTCAAGATCGCTCACAAATATTGAGTCTCTGCTGAAAATATGTAAAATAACAACCCAGTGATTGGACGAAGATTTTCCCATTTAATAAGTTGACATGTGCATTGAAGTTATAAATATAGTTTAAAGTGTCTTGAGCCATGGCAACAATTTCATATTGTTGATCTCCCCTTGTTTTTCCAATATAAATATTTGTATTTATATATATATTAAGAGAGTATAACTAACTGTTGCGGCTCCTCGCAAGGATAAAATCCATTAATAGTTTAATGAATATCTATGATTTTATTCTTTGCAACTAGGTCTCAGTCCGCCCTGTATAAGTTAGTATAATATAAATAAAAAAATAGTTTTTTTAAATAATCAGCCATTTAGACTAACCAGCCAGATGCAATTATAAAAGCACTGCTCAAATTTGCTTTTCAAATTCATTAGGCTTCTCCAATACCAATTCGCATCATTAGGAACAGTATAAAAGCATAGATTGCTCCCTTTTAAATCCACATTATTCACCCCCTTCACCACAATTTTTTTTCCAACGGACTTGGATTCTCTCCACTACCTTCCCATCCTCTTCCCTCCACTATCTTTTTTTTTTTTCTTCACAACCATTGGATCAAAATTCCAATGGTCCAGATTTAACATCTTATAAAAATAATGTTATTAAAAAAAAAATAAATTTAAACTGTTAAAATTTGGTCTGAATAGTTTGCAATTGTAATAAAAAAATTTTAAAAAAATGCTCTATAATAACAGTCTATAGTTATGAATTGTTCAGATTAGATTTTAACAGTTTAAATTTATTTATCTATTTTTTTATCATAACATTTATTTTTATAAAATGTTATAAAATATTAAATCTGGACCATTGGAGTTTTAATTCAATAGTTATGAAAAGAAAAGAAAAATAGTAGAGGGAAAAAGGATGGAAAGGGTAGTGGAGAGGATCCAATTCCTTTCCCAACACCTAGCCGCAATTTTGCCATAGCAGCTTGGTTCCGTAACTCGCGATACGGTGCTGTAGATTCAGGCCGGCCTAATTATTCAAATCTAATGTACTAGGCAATATGATTCAAAATACTTTTCCAATTTTATATGTAGAAATTTGATAAAAAATTAGTTTTGATTCTAAATATAAAACTGTGATATATTTTATATTTCATGTTTATTATATTTTTCTGAATTAATTTATATACCAATTTACAAATTGATACTTCTCATGTTCTAAATGTAAGACCCTTATACACATTAGTATAAGAGTTTTACATTTAGGATCGGGGAGAGTATAATATAATATTACATAAAGATATTCTAGATTAATCAGATCTCTTCTGGTTCTATTTATAAGTCATTTCTAACATGTTTCACTCAAATTAGGAAAAATCTTAGATTTTATTAATTCTCGTTTAAAATTTAACAACTTTCCAACTTTATGTAATATATATTATACTCATATATATATTATTATACCTCATATAAACAAAGTCAACGTAATAATTAATGAAGAGTAAAATTATACATACATATAAAAAATTTCTTTAATACCCTATAAATAGACTCAAAAAATATCATCTCTTTCTACTTTATAAATAGGACTAGAAGAGTATTGTTAGAATTGAGTAATTTATACTTTTCCAATCCTTAATATAAAACCCATTTAATAAATTTGATTAGATTAAGGAAGTTAAGTAAGCTAGTTAATTATAAGAAAAGTGACACATTTTTCCTAAAACACTATAATCATCTTTCTTAATATCTCACCTCTCTCTTCTACTTGATTATGGTTGAGGGAGTATCCATATGGATCATTTAGAGAAAATTAATAAATATAATAAATGAGTCTTATATTTAGGACCAAAACTAACTCAAAAATTGAGTCCTATATTAAGAATAAGAGGATTATCACTTTTTTAACCTATTTAAATTAGTTAAATAATTCTTATAGTAAATATTTGAGGAGTAGCTTATCATGTGCGTGTGTGATGAGTTGTGTACTTTTGTTGCAGCGTAGGAGCTCTCAGCAAACAGAAGGAAAAAACAAAAACATGTCTTTCTTTAAAAAAAAAAAAATCAACAATCACGTGCAATTAATCATAAAAAATTTAGCCGTGTGTGTGACATCATCATATTTCAAACGTGGGAATCCAAAAGGAAAACATCATTTTGGGATGGCTAAGCGAAGCAATCCATGAGAGAGAAACAATTTTTAAGCGTGTTATATATAGTTTCAGTTTTATTGCCAATTCATAAATCATAAAATAAAAAAAGTATTTTAATAAAAATAAATTATAAATAGCTAAATTAATGAGTAGCTTTTTTTACTTCAATATCATAAATCACAAATGAATTTTATCTTAGCCTAATTCATGGAATGAAATAATACTAAAGTTAAGCTTAATTGAGGCTAAAGGTCTGTTTAGTATAAGAGAGATGAAGGAAATGAGATGGGAGAAAAAAATTTACTGAACTTGATTTAATAATTGAAAAAATGAAAGTTAAAAGCTTTCACTTGATTTTTCTTACCTTTTATCTTACATCTTATTTTTATCAAAATCTTATAACCCTATTTTTTCTATTTTTTAAATCAATCTCATTAAAATTTTTCCTCCCCTCTTTTTTGGTTTCAATTCTCTCATACCAAATATTGGGTAAATATGGCTGTAAATGGTTGTGAAATAAATGGAATTATCTCTCATTACTGTATTTTTAATGATATCTTTCTGAATGTATTATGTATATTTACTTTTTTGTATTGAGAAATCAAACTAGAATTGGATGAAAATCAGGATTAGGATGAGAAAAAGAAAAAAAGTTTCCCAGCATAAAGGTACATGACAAATTGATTTGTTTGGTCAACACTCGAGAGATATAATCATTATGCCGGGATTATTTGTTTTTTGAGAATAATGGGTGGGGAAGTTAACAGAACTGAGAACCTCCATGGGCTTAACCCAACCTAGCTTGCATTAGGGCCCAACAAGTAATTGGGCCTAGACCGAAGATCCTCATAAAAGCCCTTTATGTTTACAGGCCAACATAACTTGCATTAAGAGCCCAACAAGTAATTGGGCATTGGCCCATATCTTCATAAAATCCGTTTCTGTTTACATGGTTTGTATGTTCTTCTAGGCCCAATGTGCATACTGTAAGTATGTGTGCGGTCTTTTATTGTCCTAACCTTTAAGTTTTAATATTTTCCGGCCAAAACATTGATTTTCGGCCCTTCACTCTAAAGTCACTGAAAGGAGGGAAGGTCATACAATAATAATAGTAGTGGTAGAAATAATTAATGATCCTCTGAAAATACTAATAATAACTAAGAATTTTGAAGTTTTCAAAATTTTAAAAAATTATTATTCTTGTCTAATTTTCCCAACACACACCAAATCATTCTAAAAGTAATTGTGTGACTTGTGGGACAAGATTAATCTCACATTGTTTTACTTAAATCATGTTCTGATTAATACTAATTGATTTTCAAGAATTCATAATTAATAAGCACAAATGCAACAGCATCTTGTTATCCTCATGCTCTTATCCAATTAGACTTAAATTAATCAAGGTCCAATATATAGTTTTTAATTATTCATTAAGAAGTGAATTTTTTTTTTTGTCATGGCGGGTGCTTAAATATGATTTAATTTTTGTTAGCTGACATCATCCTTCTCATTTTGCCCGTTAATTATTGCGCCAATCGCACCGAAACAAATAGTTCTCTCACGCAAACCATACGATTGGTTCTCTCAAAATATCTTGATTATCTTCATCTTTTTTTACACCTAACATCCACCGTCAAATAATTTAATATTTAATCCTCCTCCTCCTCCTGTCTAATTCATTATATTATTCATGTAAAAAAAATATAATTGTTGTTTTTAAAGTGATCATCTTTTTTCCAGCCTTTTTATAATTTATCATCTGACAACGTAATCTTGCAAGAGGGTTTTGATTATCATCACCATTATGTATGATATTATATAGATATTTTGATTTTAGGTTTTTTTTTTTTCCAAATGGAGCAAGGTCATCCGTTGGGTTATTTCAACCACACCGGACCCACCAGAATTAATAACTAACGTCAACAAAAATCATTGATGATAACATTCAAAATCTTTCCCTCCGTTGTGACTTCCTTTTTCTAGCTTCGCCAAATTGCCCTTTAGTGGCGGTACATATTAATAAAATGGCACGTGATATTTAAGCCCATTTTATTTTCTGGTTCCTTAAATTTTAAATCTGTGATTTTAGTTCCTGAAAGTCTCTTGTGATGCAATGGGATTAAAGTTTGCGGAAGTGTCATCAATAATGTTAAAAGTAGTGATATTGATTCTGATACATAATTG